TCAGTCAGAACCAGACCTGGGCCAATGGCCTCAGGAGCATCTCAGGTGTTCGGGGCGCCATGGAGACCTTCTGGAAACTCAGCATCTAGACACCGTCTTCCTTGCTTGGTCAGGTCTCTAGTGGTCACTGCTGAGTGGGGCCGTGTGTGCTAGAGAGAGTTTGCTCGGACTTTTAAGTTTCTCTTAATGTGCCCGATCAGTAAAAGTTATTAGCATAGAAAGGATGAACTAAATCCGCTCACGTTGGTGGTTTCATTAAGGAATTCTAGTGTCCTTACCTACTGTCATAGACTAGAGCAGCCTCCAGCCTCCCCTTGGAACCTGCTAGAAATGCAAATTCTGGGGCCTTCCCCAAGGCCCCGGGACTAGAGCTGCTTTCTGAGAAGAAAAGGCAGTAAGATGCATGTCTCACAGCACTACCTACCCCTCCCCTCTCTCTTCAACCCCCCCCCCAATTCTTTCTGAAAATCGAGGCGTCATAGGGCTTCTCTCAAATCGGGGAGATATTCAGAAGGTGTCCAACACAGTTTGTGATGTTATGCTTTAGAGTTAGAAAGAATCAAAAGGTAACAGATATGAGGTGGGAGAGGCCTTTCGAAGCTACAAACAAGAACGGGAGTTATAAAATAAAATTATTGGTAAATATGACCACAAAAATTTTTCAAACCCCTCAAGGTCAAAACTCAGTAAATAAGTTAAAATGTAAGCTACAAACTGTGAAAAATAGCTGTACCATATGTGACAGATAAAAAGTCACTACATATTTTTAAAAAACACTCTTGCAAAATAAAAGAGAAAAAGATAACTACCCCAACAGAAAAATGACCGAGGAATGGGCACGAAAAGGCAGTTCACAAAAGATGAATGACAGAGGCCAATGAATGTTGGACCTCATGAGAAATCAAAAAAGCGTAGTAAAACAAGAAATCAATTTTCACCTACAAATTGGTTTAAAATTTTTAATAAATACCTAATGTTGTTGGGGGTCTGGGAGAGTAGACATTATCATAAGCTACTTGCAAATATAAACTGCTATAAATATTTCTGGGAAACAATTTGGCAATGCACCAGAAGTCTTGAAAATATGCATCTGTTTGACCCAGCAAGAGGATCATGCTGATTTGAAAAGGATTCATCCAAAGGAGATCATCATAGATATGAACGACGTTTGTCTATATAAATATTCATCTTAATATGTTTGTAAGAACAAAAAATTGAAAACAACCTGAACTGGAACAATAAGTTGGAGGTTTATTAGGTAATATATACCATGTTTCTAAAAATATTACTGTGCAGCTTTCAACAACTATGGCGTAGATGAAAATGTAATAAAATAGAATCACGTTTATAACGTACTATTAAATCAAAAGTTGCCTAATAAAAGAATATGTATAGTTGTATCCCAGTCATAAAAATATACATGAGTGTTTGTATATCTCTGTCTCCATCTCTGTCTCGTCTGTCTCCATCTCTAGCTCTATCTCTGGCTCCATCTGTCTCTGTCTTTGTCTCTGTCATCCATATCTACAAGAATGAAGAAGTAGAATGTCTCTGAGGTCAAGGATTTTGACTAATTCACAGTGCAACTTCAAAGTTGGGTGTAGTTGCTGGGCACATAGCAGATATTCACCACACATCTGACTGTCAAGATATTAAGTCTTATTTCCGATCGGTAAGCTTAAGGGACATAAAGTTTTTTTCTTTATGTTTCTCTAGATTTTCAAAACTTTCTACAATGAATTTGTATTCTTTTTTTTTTCAGCCAGAGAAAGAGAATACATTCTAGCTTTGAAAACAAAACATTAATGGATAAAACTGGCTATCTATAGACCCGATCCTAAGAGCTAATTGTCAATATGGGGCTCATAAAATTGAAAACACCCAATTCGATCAAGGTGAACTGAGCAGTGTTGTGGGAAGGTTGACAAAGACGTGATTGTAATTCAGGAAATGTAAGTCTACTCAGCTCTTTTGTATTGTCCTTGGACTATGATTTTAAAACCTTCCCACCAAGTATCCTAAAAGAGAGGTCTCAAGATTTCTAAATTTAAGGGAGACATTTCTTCAAGGTGTATTCTTGACACTCATTTAAATTTTGCATTGCGCTTCACACAATATCCAGTTTATTGTGTATAAAAATATTTGAAATTGTGTACCACGGAGTAAGACTGATTCTCCAGGTTATGTTGTAGCTGGCGTGCCCACTGGCACTCCCTGGGTCTCTTTAGGAGTATTGCTTATGCAGCTCTGGGAAACTGTTAGCAAGCAGGACTAGCAGAGTCTGGAAAAGTGGTGTCAAAGAGAGAATTTGTTAATGTGTTCAGAAGAAGTAGGTTGACTAATCGACATCAATGTGCCATCTGCTTAGCAAGTGTGTCCCTGCAGAAAAATCTCATAGGGGAGAATTAAATGAGATATAAAGAGTTAAATACAGCACCTGACATGAGGTAAGCTCTCAATAAATGCTAGCTAGTTATTAATTATGATTACCGCAGAGAGTTTTCACACCCAGGTGTCACTACCACTTACATTATCAAGCTAATTTGCTTTATTCTGATCCAATGCGTGCCAAGCCACATTCTCATTCGACTACCCAGACTAAAAACGTATACTAAGTTCCGTATTCCCTAAAGCAGAAGATTTCAAAATGTTTTGGCCATGGGCCATAGTAAAAAATACATTTTATAAGGTGATTCAGAAGTTAATATCGAACGTTCCATGAAATAATACCTATCCTAATTACATTAAAAATCTAAAACCAGAATTAAAGGCAAATAGCCAATATCCTGGGGTCCACAGAAAAAGGCTGACCGTGGCTTCCTGTGTAGCCTCTGTTTTCTTCTCCCTCTGGTTGTCCTGTTGTCCCATCTGAACTGCATGGGTCCACACCTGACACATATGGGCCTCCACCTACGACCTCTGGCCAGCCTTGAGCTCTCACCATCAACAGGAGCCCACCCACTGCTTATGTCTACAGCAGCCATTAGTCTTGCCTGGATTTGTCAGGACCATTTTAATATTTTATTGTATGATCCCTGGCTTTGGTTTAGCATACATTTTCTTTGGCCTAAGTCCTCCGGTTCACCCTGGCCCCCTACATTCTGACCGCAGCTTCACCCAAAGGACTTATGGTGACTGAGAAGCCCTTTCCCCCTGTTGAAGTCCCCATTCGCTCTCTTATGGTGCCAGGCAGTGTCCTCCAGTCCAGCAGCTGCATTCGCCCACACTTCGTCCATTCCGGCCTTGCCTCCGTCTTCCAGACAGAACTGTCTCTGTCAAGCCTAAGAGGTGGGGAGGCCTTCTGCTCAGAGCTCACTGCCTGTGGGGGAGCAACTTCATGAATGACCGATGCTTTCTTGGCAGACGCAGACTACCCCGCCCCCAGTAAGGTTCTTTTTTCCATCCTGATGATTCCTTTTTTGTAGACACAGAAAAACAATTTCTGGAATCAGAGAATTATAGGTTCAAATCCTTGTTCTGCCACTTATGACCTGTGTGACACCAAACATCATCTCATCATTTGTAACCTCATGTCTTTTAAAGATTAAATATTATTTAAATGCTTACNTGATGATTCCTTTTTTGTAGACACAGAAAAACAATTTCTGGAATCAGAGAGTTATAGGTTCAAATCCTTGTTCTGCCACTTATGACCTGTATGACACCGAACATCATCTCATCATTTTGTAATCTCATGTCTTTTAAAGATTAAATATTATATTATTTAAATGCTTAGTGAGGCAGCTGGCACATAATCGGTGGTGAGTAAATGTTAATCTATTCCACTCACTTTTGTTCTAGTGAGTAATGCATGAGGATAAACACAGTCATCCCTCGGCATCCGCAAGGGTATTTGTTCCAGGAACCCCAAAGATACCAAAATTCACGGACACTCAAGTCGCTTATACAAAATGAAGTAGTATCTGCTGATAACCTACACACATTCTCCTGTATGCTTTAAACCACCTTTAAATTATTATAATACATAATAGAATGTCAATGCTATGTAAATAGCTGTTACACTGTATTATTTAGGAAATAATGACAAGAAACAAATCTGTACATGTCTGGTTCAGAGGCAACATTGTAGGCCTAACTACATAGCACCCATCAGCAACACTGTACCATTTCCCCCCAAGTATTTTTGACTCTGGTTGGTTGCATCTGCGGATGGATGTGGAGGGCCGCCTGCATATTGCGGCAGCGTGGTAATGTCAGAGTGTCTCAGACACTCACGCTACGCTAAAGACTTCCCGAGCCTTATCTGACCGACGACGACTTGAGCACAACTCAGCAGGGCTCCTTATCGTTTTTTGCAGATGAGAAAAGTTGAGGTCCAAGGCCAAGGTCACAAAATCAGTAAGGTGCAGAGCTGGATTTGAACCCCCAAACTAGAAGGGTGTCCAAACTTCTGACCTGCATTCATGGTATACGATCCACTGGGGGTCAGAATTCTCTGCTGCTGAACTCAG